TCCTAAGAGACTATTACAAAGGCTGAATCATCTTCCTTGCGACGCTGACATTACAAAGATGAGATCTGAGGATATAAAACACAGATCCAAATCCCAAAGTTATGGAGATCCTCATGGTGTCAAGGAACTTCAAGTAAACAGTCCTCGTACTCCTGCGTCAATTGGATCAGCCAAGGAGTTCTCATCAAGAATCCATTCTTCGACTTTTTCTGATGGAACGAAAGAGAAGAAGAAAGGACAAGAGACAACACCAAATGGAGTATCGGAAGATCTTGTCAAGTGCTTGATGGGAATCTATTTGGAACTGAACAGGTCATCGCGCGAGCGAGAAGGGTCAAGAACGGTTTCAAAGCTAAGCCTCTCACACCTCAAGAACGCTTCTTTCAAACGCAAATCGGTGTATGATCACAATGCATCAAATCTTGATCCTTATGGAGCTGTGATGGGGACTTCTCTTAGAGACATTGGAGAGTACAAGAACTTCATCCATGTCACACGAACTTCCATTGATGTTAGCCGTTTATCTGATTGCTCCACTTCTCTTGTCAATTTGAGGTACTAAAATTTTCAGATTCCTACTTAATCATCTGATGAGTCCGCAAGATTTCATGATCTGTGTATAATTCGTTAATGAAACACATTTGTAGGGTTTTGAAGGAGAAGTTGAGCAAAGTCGATTTAAGTTTCTTGAACCATAAGAAAAAGATGGCATTTTGGATTAATACCTACAACGCATGCGTCATGAATGTAACTACTAGCTACGAAAACTGAATTCATCTTTAGTTAAAACAAAGTCGAGAATTTTTTAAAAACCCTAATTTGTTTGCAGGGATTTCTGGAACACGGACTACCTTCATCAAAGGAGAAACTACTAACCATTCTCAACTTGGTAATTATTGTTACAAAACAAAAAAACAACTGAAACTTCTCATACGTAAAATTCAAAACAATCAAATTGAATTGTGTTGTGTTGTAGGCAACAATTGACGTGGGAGGCACGCAACTATCTGCTCTAGATATTGAAGGATCCATCTTGCAGAGTCCATGTGAACCCATGGAAACTGTTAGTATCGATGTTTACACACCTATATAATAATCATGTGAAGTTGTAAGAATCAATATCTAATATATATATATATTTTTCTGCTCTTCGAATCAAAAGGTTTTGACTGGTGAAAGCGAAGCGAGATTACAACAACAGTACGGATTCAGATGCGTAGAACCAAACCTAATGTTCGTGCTTTGTCGTGGAGACTGGTCTTCACCTGCAGTAAGTTCACTCTTTTTTCTTCATGAAATTTGATAATTTGTTACCTTCATCAATATTAGTAATTAACTAAGAATCTTTGTATACATGATGATAACAGTTGAGAGTCTATACAGCAGAAGATGTGGTGAATGAACTAATCAAAGCAAGAACAGAGTATTTAGAAGCTTCCATAGGTATCTCGGGAAGGAAAAAGATTGTGATTCCGCGATTCTTGCAAAAGCGTATGCATGATTTCGCAGATGATGAAGGGTCATTAGTTGAATGGATATGCAGCCAACTACCACCATTACAACGTTGCTTGCAACTCAAGGAAACAGCGACCGAGTGGTTGAACAAGAAAAATGAGTCTCCTTTGAACAAATTGATAGAAGTGAGGCCTCATGAATACGAATTTCGTTATCTCTTGCCTTTGTAAAACTAATCTTTCACTTTGGTATTTGGAGAAAATGAACAAAATC